TCAACATAATAACTGCTGAATGAATACAATAAATCTAAGTGCAAAGAGGACCAACACAAAATGGGACATAGATTGTGTTCCTAACATTGCTCGAATGAATATCATAAAATTACCCAAAATTGCTAAATGGTTTTTCTCATTCATCAAACCTTTCCTTAATCATTACACCATCCAAAAATTTAAATATGATACTTCAAACGTGATGGGTTAGCATAGCACCCACCGCTAATATACAATATACATGTGTGTGTGTGTGTGCGCGCGCGCGTGCACACGATGAAGATAAACCCTAGAACACGATTAAAAACAAAACAGATGGAGAAATCACTTATGCACAGATACGATGAAACATTGAAAAGTAGTGAGGAACTAAAAAAAAACAATTTGATGATCTAAATAGAAATGAGTGTGTGCGCAGTTAGAATAAACCCTAGAACACGATTGAATAAAATTTAGAGAGAGAGATAGAGAGAGAGAGAGAGAGAGAGAGAGGAGTAGCTATGAATAGAAACGATGAAATAGTGAAAACTAGTGTGGAACTAAAAAAAAAATTGAAAGCATGTATGTATAGAAATGTATCAGAAGTGGGTGATACCTTGGGATTGATGGATTGAAGAGTGATAAGAAGAGATGAATCGGAAGAAGCCATTGAATCAGAAGAAGGAGAGTGTAGAGAGGTCAAGAAACTAATAGCAGATTGAGATTTTGGAGAAGAAAAATGAGGAGAGAGACGAAGAGTAAGAAGAGGAGAAGAGGCTTTGTTGATGAGATGTTTGGCTTTGTCGGCTGCGAATTTCCACATTTTGAGATGAATAGCAGATTGAGATTTTCTACCTGCAATTTAAAGGATGTGATTTGGGTTTGGTTTGGGGGATTCCATTTACCAAGGCGGTTCTTTAGTTGGATGTTCTTTAGTTGGAAATCATCATGCCGCCGTTGTCACTCGCTGTTGCTCGTCGTCGTCGTTGATGACCGTCGTCACTCGCTGCTAGCCGTCGTCGATCACCGTCGTTGAATTTTGGCTCAAGGATTTTGGGGATTTTGCTTCAAAATGGTTTTGGGGATTTTAGTTTTAGAAAGATTTTACGGATTTTGGGTTGGTTCAGAAAGGTTTAGGGATTTTGGGGAAACACATGGCCGTGAATAGGTTAAAATGAGCGGGATGAAAAAAAATTTCATTACTTTTTTGCAACGGCATACTTAAACCGTCAAAAATGATGAATCCTAACAAATAAAACGACGCCGTTTTAACAAGACTTTTTGCGATAGTAAATGTTCCTGTCTCAAAAAAAAAATTTGCGACAGTACATTAAGCTTCGCAAATGTTTTATGTTTTTTTTGTGATATATTCATTAGCGACGGGATCACCACCGTCGCAAAAGACCATTTTTTGAGACGGTTTGAAAACGCCGTCGCAAAAGACCATTTTTTGAGACAGTTAGAACACGCTGTCGCAAAAGACCATTTTTTGCGACGGTACCTATACCGTCACAAAACGTTCCGTGTTATTTGGGTTGTTTTCTTGTAGTGCCACCACGTATAATAATTAACATTTAATTAATTAAGAAAATTTAAATTTTAATTACCCATTATTCTGATTTAATTTGGAATTTATGAAAATTGTGAAGACTGATTTGTATATGATTTTACTGAGAATTTATTTTAGAATTAGAAATTGAAAGTCTAAATGGCTCAAGATAGTACAAATGGTGAATTGAATTATTTTAATTTAGAGTATCCGACCATATAGGGGTTTAATTAAATATTCAGTTCAGATTTATAAAATTGAGACTTGATTAATTGGGTCCGAATTGGAGTTAATTAAGTTATACGAGTTAGGAATTAAGATTATTATAAATTAGATTAATTTATGAGGTGCCTAATTTGAATAAGTAATTTATTGACGAAATTTTGAGTCTGATCAGAAATTGAAGGCTTAAATGATTTAAGAAATCAAAATTGAGGATAGTAATAAGTTTAATTTAATATTGGGCAAATTACACTAAAGGTCTCCATAGTTTAGGACTTGTGTCACTTTGGTCCCTGATTTTTCAATTATGACACATTTGATCTTGAATTTTGAATCTTGTTCCAAATAAAGACAATTGAATATACTATTAATCAATTTCAAGGATAAAGTTGTCAATTTGATAAAATATAAATTAATTTGACAAAAATAAATGTAAAAAAATATTTTTAAATTTTTAAAAATTATTTCTACCCTCTAATGATAAAATAATGTAAAATTGATAAATCTTTTACACATTTATTTTTTTTTTACCAAATTAATTTTTATTATATGTTTGGATGATAATCATGTAATGGATGGCTATTTTTATTTTCATTAAATTAATTTTTATTTTTTCAAAAGTCAAATATGACTACAACTTTGATATCATTACCAGTCCATTAAATCAAAAAATTCAAAACTAAAAACATTTCATATATTAAATATATCGATTACACATTAAAAGCTTAGCTACTACCCATTACATAATCA